ATCTCACTGTTCTGTGATTTCTAAGGTACTTTGGACCACAATGCATCTACCAATGAAAATCAAGATTTCTTTTGTTTGATAATTTGTTTCATCTGCTCAGAATTGTATATCTTGACCCAAAAAAACACTGCTGATAGCTAGATGGAAATAACTTTATTATTATTTATGACCACACCTATTGCTAAATAGTTCAGAATTGATGTCTATTTCTAGTCAGTTTTATACTCCACAAAATATTGAATCTTTCTATAATTGTGATCAACTTCTTTTGAAATTGACTCAGTAGTTCATATGAACAGTGGAAGGGATAAAACACTGTTATAGCAGATGACACTCAAGCTGCAGTCTCCATAGTTTGGGTTGTTTTTAAGTTGACACTGGTCATTTAGGAACACTGAACCTTAGCACTGGGTTGTTTTTGTTTTTCAAAATGGACATTGGCCATCCAGCTCACAATCTCCATAGTTTAGGGTGTTTTCAAATGGACACTAGCCATCTAACTACAGTCTCTGTCCTTTTGGGGTGCTTTCAAGTGAACTCTGGCCTTTCAGCTGCAGTCTTTGTACTTTGGGATGTTTTTCATGGCAGATGCATCAGGGTTTCAATTTCTTTCATTGCAAAAAGCATGTTTGTTTGGTTTAGGTTTTCATATTGAATTTCTTTTAATCTGTAATATAGTTGTGTTACTGCACTAAAAAACTAACAATTTGTTTGATTGTATCACCTTATGATTACTTATGCTTTATTTCATTTCATTTCTTGTATTATATAAATGCATTAACCTCTGACATTTCTAACAGCATGGTTAGTTTAGAGCTACTCAGTGATATTGAAATCTTAATTAGAACATATTTAAGGCCCTGTTAGAGGTACTTGTCAGGTACTATTTTAATGGTTTTATTGATCAGTTAATTGCATGTGGAATATGGGTTAATATAAATAGTGTTGTTCATTCATCTAAAAAGGTGTCTGGTCTCATTATTCTTTAATGACAATAGCAATAATAATTCAAGATAAAAAACTATTATTAGATACATGGTGTACATGGAATAGGGAATTCTATTTTCAAAAGTCAAACCATCACATTGATTTGAGTTCAAATTTTTATCAATTTGTGAAATTTGATCAGCATTATCTTTGACTCTGAGACATTGTAATAAAGGTTAATCAATAGATTCATTCCACGGTTTGCACAGTTTATTTGAGCAAGTACTTTTCCATTTTTTATTTATAGCTTCAGTCCATATGTTATGTCAGTCTATAAGTGCAGTTTTGAAATAAAAATTAACTTCTGCATTAAGATTGCCATGTTGAATCTACAATAAAACTTTAAATCAACCATACTCATCTGACATAGCACCCACCTCCCACTTTTGGGGCTAGTCTTTTTTGGGCCCACATTTGAATAAATGTCCATTCCAAACCTTCCTTATACCAGTAATGAAATTTATATTTAATATAGCATAGATATTGACTGCCAATACCAATCACCTGAAAATAATAAATTAAATCATGTAATTTTTTGCCGACATTACCATAATGCCTTTGGGAATCCCCAGAGAATTGGGTTGGTACAACACAACAATCTGATTGGTTAACAACTAACTTGACCTATCAGGTCAAAGGACATTGTTGCAGGTCAAATTGTGCAGAAAACATCATTGTGGAAATTGCTTTGCATAGAAAGTTTGAGAACACATTCAAGAACAAAGATAATAATGACGAAGATCTTTGGCTTTAACTACTTTCCCACAAACCCTAATAATTTTTATATCGTAAATTCTGATGGTACATAAATAATATTGTAATAAAATATGCATATTTTGCATTATGACAGCCATGTGTGTGTCAAAAACTATTTAGGAAATATAAAGAAAGTTGCATTAGTTTTATCATCATTTTGGGTGATGTAAGAAGATTGGTTCAAAGTAATAATAATTTATTGTATGTATGTAAAGTAGTGGACAAACAATTTTTTTTTAAGTTAAAATTTCATAATGTTCAGTTCGAAAGAAAATTTTTTTTTTTATAATTTGAAAAAGTTTTTCTTTAAAATTTTGTCCATTACTCCATTTCACTCTTTGACAAAATGGCCTTATCAGCAAATTCCTAAAAAAAATGGTGATAAAACTGTTCTAATCAATCTGATCTGATTGTTATTGATTACTGTGAGTGTATCACCCCCACAGTGTAGGTTTATTCACTTTATAATAAACTACTTACCATACAGGTGATAAATATCTACCAGCCTACAATTCAAGATAGCATGCTTAATGTTAATGTTTTTTGTTTTTGACAAGTTTTTTTCCAAACTTTGAACAACTTGTATCTCTTAATCAATTTGTTTTGCAGTTTTGTTGTTGAATAACATTGCATGAATGTGACCTCCTTCTCAGGCCTAGTCATTAAAACATTTATTCATTCTTTTATAGGTCTATGATGATCAAGACAAGATGGACAGGTAGGTTACCATACCATTGTGCTTATTTTCCAATAATTTCTATTAAAACATTACAATTTTGCAGAGGAATTTCTTGGATAATCAGTGGTAATCTCTTCATGGAAAGCTACTCTGTCGCTGGCAAGAATTTTATTTTTTGTAATAATTAATAAAATAATAATAATAATAATAATAACTCTATTTAATTAAGCGCAACAATTCCAACATATGAAGATCAAAGGCGCTGATACAATAAACAATCAGTCAAATATTAAAAGCACATTTAAATAAGTGCGTTTTCAGTCTGGATTTAAAAATGTCTACTGAAGGACTAGAACGAACAGACAGAGGTAATTCATTAAAAAGTTTAGGACCTAAATTTTCAAAAGCACGGTCTTTGTATAACACCTTGGACTTTTTACTACACATCTGACGAGTTTTAATAAGAAACTTCGATTCAGATCTTAAACTACGACTCGGTACATAAAATTCGATTAATTCACATAGATAATTTGGGGCAAAACCATACAAAGATTTATACACTAGTAAAAGTAATTTGAAATTGATTCTTTGTACAACTGGTAACCAATGAAGTTTAATAAA